GTGCATATTTGTGAGCAAGGAACTTGGGGTACCTAACTGGCGTGAATAAGGTCGCAAGATGGGAAAGAAGCTCACAAGTCATTTTCCAAGTCTAGGGTCATGGGCTCATGAAAGTCAAACAGCATGCAGTAACTTCCATAGGTCCTGAGTTAATATTTGCAAATCGCCCTCGAGGAAAAGTATCCTTTTGCTTCCTGGATTTTGTTTTTTGTTTTTTTTCAGATAGGAGGTTCATATTCTATTTTTCCAGTGGTATCTTTACAATTGAATATAAATTAAAGGCCTGCTTGCACACCGAAACCAGGTCCTTTGGGTGGTTCTGTCGAAGAGGAGAGACCTCCAGCTGGCTCACAACAGAAATGTCCACTCCTTGGCCCAGGTTTCGGAATTTTGACAGCCTTGAGCTCATCACTGATTTCTTCTATATCCTTGGGTGTCAGATCCTCATAGTAGTTGTCATTTATTTGCACCATTGGTGTGTACACAGGCCCCTAAACATTCCACTTCTATAAGAGTGAAAAGTCTCAGGTGTAGTCTCCCCAGCCTTTATACCCAGCTTTTTCTGAATGGTCTCCAGTATGCTGTCAGAATTTCGAAGCATGCAAGGTATAGTAATGCAGACCTGAATGTGATACTTTCCAACTGGCTTTCGATTATACATTGTATAAAAACTTGCTACTTCCACACTCTCATTGGAGGCACTTTTAAAACGTCAGTCACCTTGCTCATAGCAGAGATGGGCAACCATCCACTCTGCATTTGGGCTAAATCCAGGACTGGAAGCACAGCTGCTGCCTTGTGCCCTTATAGGATAGTTTTTTACAATTGCCTCTAACCGCTTATAGTTTTCTGGCGTGAAATCAAATGAGAAGTGTCTGGGTTTTCTCAGTAGTATCTCTGTGCACAACTAAGGCTCCTCCAGCACCATTTTGCACAGATGTCTTATACAAATTCCTTGTATGTCTCCCCCACTGCACGGTGAGGATGGCCACCTTGGCCCGCAGCGTCAAGGAGAACATGGTAGGCCAAACCATTCGGTTCGCCCTTCCCAGCAGCTCTGAGCCAGACTCCCGACTCAGGATGCAGGGCCCGCCTTCCAGAGCCCAGCACGCATAACGCCCTGGATTTTGTTTTTATCTCAATGGTAAATGATTGTTCTTTGGGAGATTTTGTTTTTTCCTGAAGGAGGATAATCATGTTCATTACTGAGAAGGTGGTATTGTATGTATGCCTTGGTCTGGATGAACATTCTTCAAAGGCCCACATGTTAAAGACTTGGTGGATAGGATGACCCTGTTAAGAAGTGGTGGAGCGTTCAAAAAGTGGGGCATAGTGGAAGGGTGTTAGGTTCACTGAGCGCCATGCCCTTGAAAGGACATTGGGACCTCGGCCCCTTCCTGATTCTTTCATTTCCTGTCCACCAATTAAGGGAGTAGATTCCTCTGTGACACCATGAGGTACTGCCATGATGTGCTTGCTGCCTTGCCACAGGCCCAAAAGCCATGGGCAGAGTGACTGTGGATCAGAGACTCCAAAATTGTAAATGAAATTAAACTTCGCTCCATGTAAGTTGACTATCTTAGTTATTCTGTGGCAGGCATGGAAACCTAATACAGAGTTTGCCTAAATTAAGAACTGGATGCTTTACATATAGACTTCAAAGTCAGGCTAGAGTGACTGGTATCTTGACATTGACCATACCTGACTTTTTCCTGAAGGGATCATAGGGGTGTGTGTGTATGTGTGTGTGGTATGGATTAGTGTTCACCTGTTCATGTGTCAGTGTACATGTGTATGAAGCACAGAGGTCACCCTTGGGTTTTGTTCCTCAAGAGCTAGTGAACCCCAGGGATGCTCTTGTTTCTGCCTCCCCAGTGCTGGAATTGTAAGCATGTGATACAACACACAACTTTTTACTGGGGATTGAACTCATGCATGTGTAGTAAGCACTTTACAACTGAACCATCACATTTGCTTTGGGTTGGATGGAGCCATGTTGAGGACTCCAGAGGGAATATCATGTCTAGATCATTAAAGCATATATTTAAGACAAGCATCGATGCATAGGTAGTTATAGACTTCTT